CTCTAGGCATTCAACATCGAGTTTCATGTCCGCACACAAGAACAGAATGGTGCTCCAGAGCGCCGCAATCGCATTATTGTCGAAAAAGGATTATCTCTTCTTGCCCATGCCTCTCTCCCATTGTCCTTTTGGGAACCAGCATTTTATACGGCAGTCTACCTCTCTAACCGTACCATCACCCCCATCCTAAACCACTCTTCACCTTACCGATGCCTATATGGTCGTCCACCAGATTATGATTTTCTAAAAACTTTTGGTTGTCTTTGTTTTCCTTTTCTTCGTCCTTACAATAAACACAAATTTTAATTTCGTTCTCAGCCATGTATCTTTATAGGTTATAGCTCCAAACACAAGGGTTATATGTGTCTTCATGTGCCATCTAACCGGGTTTACATTGCTCTCCATGTTGCCTTCGATGAGGAATGTTTCCCTTATCAAGACCACCTAAAAGCATCCTCCTCCACATTATGCTCCTCATCATCTACAGTCCCTGCCACATTACTCCAACAAGCTGCCTCCTTGCCTCCACCTCCGCAAGCTGCAACCCAATTGTCAACGACTACTCGAGATGTTGTTCGGCCTTCGACAAGCACACGGGTAATCACCTCTTCTCAATCTTTGCCACCTACTGAATCACCTTCTGCCTTTCCTTCCAACAACTACTCTTCACCTTCCCCACCTCCAGTTAATTCTCGGCATCCTTCTCCCACTTACCACTCCACAGCTCCTTCATATTTTCGACCACCAGACAACTCTCACCATCAAATGATAACCCGCTCCAAAACCAACTCTTTAGCCCCAAAAGCTCTCACCACATCCAAACACTCCCTTCCAGTTGATCCTCTACCTATTGACGAACCCAAAAATTTTAACCAGGCTTCCAAACTTCCTCAATGGCAACAAGCTATGCAAACAGAATTTTCTGCTCTTATGCGAAATAATACATGGCAACTTGTTCCACCACCTCCTAACTCTAATATTGTTGGTTGTAAGCGGGTTTACAAGATCAAATATAAAGTTGATGGCTCCATTGAGCGCTATAAAGCTCGTTTAGTGGCAAAGGGGTTTCATCAAGAAGAAGGCATTGACTATTTTGATACCTTCAGTCCTGTCATCAAACCAACCACCATTAGGCTAGTTCTCTCTATTGCTCTCACTAAAGGTTGGCCCTTGCATCAACTTGATATTAATAATGCATTCTTAAATGGTGACCTTAATGAGCAGGTATTTATGGAGCAGCCAAAGGGGTTTGTTCATCCCCAATACCCCAACCATGTGTGCCTACTCAAAAAGGCTCTTTATGGCCTAAAACAGGCTCCTCGAGCATGGTTTACCAAGCTCAAAAATTTCTCCTATCTCATGGTTTTAAATCATGCTTATCAGATTGTTCTCTATTTGTTAGAAAATCACCCAATGATATTAGTTATATCCTAGTGTATGTTGATGACCTTATTGTTACGGGAAGCAATCCTCGGTTCATCACTCAATTTACTAAAACACTTCATGCTGCCTTCTCTTTGAAGGACCTTGGTGATCTTCATTTTTTCCTTGGCATTGAAATTACTAGAAATAAGGATACCATTTTTCTCACCCAACAAAAATACATCAGAGATGTCCTTGTACGTGCCAAGATGGTTGATGCCAAACCGATCTCCACTCCATCTACATCAGAGTCTCATCTTGTCCATGACGACGATCCTCTCCCTGATCCTCACCTATATCGCCGCATTGTTGAGGCTCTTCAATATGCCACCATTACCCGCCCCGAAATTTGTTATGTTGTCAATCGGGTGTGTCAATTTATGCATCACCCATCCACCACCCATTGGGCTGCCGTTAAGCGTATTCTTCGATACCTTAAAGGCACCCTTCACCATGGTCTTTACTTTCACTCATCCACAGACTCCGGCCTAGTTGCTTTCTCTGATGCTGGATGGATTTCTGACCCAGATGATAGTCGTTCTCAACATGGTTTTGCTCTTTACTATGGTGGTAATTTAGTAAGTCGGTGCTCTAAGAAGCAAAAGGTTGTCGCTCGCTCTAGTACCGAAGCTGAATATCGAGCTCTTGCATTTGCTACTACTAAAATTATTTGGGTCCAGCAACTCTTCCATGAGTTGCATGCTCCTCTTAACCAACCTCTAATTCTACTCTGCGACAACTTAAGTGCTACTTTTATCTCTGCCAATCCTGTCATTCATCAACGGTCGAAGCACATTAAACTTGATTATAATTTCGTACGGGAGAAAGTCGATGATAATTCACTTGTTGTTCGCTTTGTTAGTTCTCAAAATCAAATAGCAGATATTTTTACAAAAGCTCTCGGAACGGCTAGATTCAACCTGCTAAAATCCAAGCTACTTGTTCGACCCTCACCATCCGCTTGCCGGGGGGTATTGACTGAGAATTCCTCTCCCAGCAAATCCAAGAACCAGCAAAAGATTTAGTTAACTACTAGCAGATATTCTCTAATATTTTGAATCAACTTTGTATTTTGAATTACTGTTATGATTTGTTGTATATCTTCAAATTAAAATCTAGAGAGATTATAGGACTTGTGTAACTGAATCCTTGTACATAAGAAATATTTAAAGGACTCTTCCTCTTGGCAGTAAAGTCAACCGAGAGTCTGCACATTGGACTGTCTTTCATCTTTCACTTCTTTACTCTCTTATATTCACCAATGTTACATGGATGTTTCTTGATGTACATGTATGACACAGGTTGTGATGAGTGTGTGGGTATCTTATACAAATTGTTCAAAATATACTAACAATCAGCCAAAATCAGGAAGGTGAATTTAGCATGTAACGTATGAGTTCACGTGAACTTAATAGCTTTTGCCAAATCCTTTATAAATATTAAGAAATTCATTAAATATCATAGACAAATCCTAGACCCGCCTCTCTGACTGTATGAGATACTTTGACACGTCTGTATGGGGATAATTCCATATATACAGCTTTTGAAATAGGGCATGAGCTAACTACATTTTTATTTTTTATGGGTTTTCCCGTCCAGAATGTGTGTATCCTCTCATGCTAGCACAAGTCGTGAATTAGTGTGATTCTTCTTCAATTTGGTTCATTCCTAGAAACACCAATAGATGATAATCAACATTGAGAAGTGTTTTTTCTCAAAAGTAATTTGTGTTTGGCTAATTAATTTGAAAAGCAATTCTGAGCAACAGCCAATGTTTGACCAAGCTTTTAAAAACTGATTCTAAGTGTATTTTTCTCAAAAGTGCTTTTCAAAAAAAGTTCTTTTGGAGAGAAATACTTTTTTCTGCTTTTCCAAAACTGTTTCTTCTTCTCCTCAAAAATACTTTTTTCTTCCAAAAGCTTGACCAAACACTTCAACTTTAAAAATAAAACACTTTTTTTTTAAAACAAAGTGCTTTTAGGATTGAAGAAACTTGGTCAAACATGCTATAATGCTCGTAGGACGGATCAGAATTGAGTTTAGATAACATTTTTGGTTGCCATTGTATCACATTTTTTACATTTACCTTCTTTTTTTTTTNATTCGAATCCGCACCTAATATTGTATCTCTGCCTATAGTACTGAGATCATTCTTCTAAGTAGATCCAAAATTTAAACTTGAAAGATTCAACCTCTAAAGTTCTTAGTACTAATCCACTGTAATTTGAAAATTATTGTATTGTTCAGAATTTAATTTTTGTTGAAATTTTATTGTTTTTTCACTATATATCTATGTTTCGCCTCGAAAATACTGGTTCATTTGCACTCATAATATAGAAGCTCCTTTGGTATCTGTTGATCTTACCATCAACAAGTAAGATCTTACAAATGATTGTTGAGATTTTATTTGTAAATTCATGATTTGATTGCCAAAGTGTAATAAAGTTGTTATTTTTTTCAGAATAGCCCTTTTCTTTTCTCCTTCAAGTAGGTCCTTGCCATCTATGTTTCGTGTGTTTGTAAGTAATGTTCCAAGTAAATCTATTTAAACTTCTAGAAATAATACGATTTGTATTAGCAATGCAATTGATGCTATGGGAATAGCAGGTTTTGGTTAATATTAATAGAGTGAAAATTAACAAGGAAATTGACAGTCAGAGACAAACTGGCAGAAGATAAACAAGAAATGATACAAATAAGAATACAAATGCACATATACAGTCAGACCTCTCTATAACAGTATCCCTATATAACAACACTTCACTATAAAAACCAAACTTTTTCCGAAACCAATTTTCAAGTTATGTTATAATAGTATATGTTTTCTATAACAACACTTCGCTATAACATCCAAAAATATTCGGAACGAACGAGGCTGTTATAAAGAGATTTGACTGTATATATAGAGAGGGGGACAATAACAAGAAAGAGAGCAGAGAGACAGCAGCAAAAGACATGGATTTTCATGTTTGGTAGTAGTTGTGCCTAATGATGAAGCATAAATACAAAAGGTTGAATAAGTATATGATAGGTTTCAGCAAGATTTAGCCATGAAGGAAGAGCAGTTGAATAGAACTTTCATTCAGATATTACAAAGTACTGATGAGTGATGATGTACTTTATATGAGGGATTTTTAGAGGCTAATCAACTAAATACTCACTTTAATTAATACTTAAAGCAGATCCAGACAGAATTCAGTTTAAGATTTGTAACCCGTTTGGCCAAGCTGCAAAAATTTTATTTTGAGAAGTGCTTTTTTTCAAAAGTGATTTTCTCAAAAGTAGCAGTTTATGTTTGGAAGCACTTCTGAGCAGCAATTAGTGTTTGGCCAAGCTTTAAAAAACTGCTTCTAAGTGTATTTTTCTCAAAAGTGCTTCTCAAAAAAATATTTTTGGAGAGAAGCTACTTTTTTCTGCTTCTCCACTTTTTTTCCTTCCAAAAGCTTGCCAAACACCTCAATTTTTGGCGAAAAGTGCTTTTGGCAAAAAAAGAAGCACTTGGCCAAAAAAAAACTTGGTCAAATAGGCTATTGATCTAGCTGTTAAAGGTCAGCTAGGTGTCAAATGAACTACAGATATCTATTCAAGTTTTCTGTTGCATCAAGAAATAACTAATTAAGTACATGAACTATGAGTATGAGGTAAGGATTAAGAATAACCACTGAAAATATCCTACAGATTTCATGTCACCTTTGGTTGGCAGTTATTAGATACAGTATGTACTTGTAGAAGTGGCTGCGGTATAGTAAATGAATTAATCCAGTTATAGCTGCTCAACTTGCTCTATTTCTTGATTTCAGTTTGTGATTCTGTACTGTACAACGCCACATTAATATTGAATCGGTCAGTCATTCCTTTAGAGGTTAGAAACTAAATGTACTATCACATGTGCCTTGTGCTATGCTTTTAAGTTACCCCTTGGATGATCTCCGCAAGAATTCTGTCACCAAATTTGAAAATGCGGAAGAACTGTTCCTCAATAACTGGTCAGGAGTATCAAACTCGAGAATTTTTCCTGCATCAAACAACATGGATTTTGTCAGCAATGTAATAAATAGTACAACGTGTCTATTCTCAGCTGTTCTATGTCTTCATCTTTTTGAGTTCTTAGCCCGTTGGAGGTTAATGATTACACTTATATTCTGCCACTACAATTGTCATGCAGTTGTATACAAGTAGCTGATACATTAATCATTTCAACTGTTACAGCATTCTTAATATGTACACCTAGTTTACTTGGTTATGCTGTTTTTTCAGTGTTTGTGGAGCTGGGTTCTGTATCTTTACCTTCACCAAGAACTAGAACAAGATCATTATCGATGACTGTGGGTATCCGATGAGCCACTGTTATAACTGTGCATCCATATGTTTCTTCTCTTATAGTTTTCTGAATGACATTGTCTGTCTCTGTATCCACTGAAGCAGTAGCTTCATCAAGTACCAATATTCTCCTTTTTTGTAGCAACACCCTAGCTAGGCACACAATCTGCCTTTGACCCACGCTCAAGTTTTCTCCGTCTTCTGCAACTGTACCATAAAATACTTGATCTTAATTTGAAGATAATTTGTTTCCATTTACGATTATTTATGTATTCTGAAGTTTTTTTATAGGTTGCAAGATAAACATGGAAACTAGTATTTGTACCTGGTGCATCAAGAAGCCTTGGATCCTGCTTCACTATCTCAGCCAAATGACATTTGTGCAAGACCTGAAAAATGAATACCATTCTAAACAGTAAGTTACCAAGTCATACCCTCTCAAATGAAATTAAGAAAAATAATGTCTATTATTAGTTTGGTTGTTTCAACACTTCTATCGAAAGACGTAACAATTATTCATAAAATCAGCTTCAACACTTAAAAGAGAGTTTTTCAGCATTTCAGCTACTTTTAATCAGCTAAGCCAAACAGGTTCCAAGTGCAGATCATTACCTCCCAGATATCATGATCTGAATGTTGTTGTAACAGATCAAGATTAGTCCTAATTGTTCCTTGGAACAAAGTTGGATCTTGTGGTATTATACTCAACCTAGACCTTAGGTCTTCCAAACCAATCCTCGAAATGTCTATTCCATCGATAAGAATGCATCCCTCAGATGGTTCCACAACCCTGAACAGAGCTTGGATCAAAGTAGACTTTCCACTTCCTGTTCTTCCAACTACACCAATTTTCTTTCCCTCCGGAAAGGTGCATGTTATACCTTTTAGTACTCTTGGGAGATCAGGGCTGTATTGCACATGAAGTTCCTTCATTTCGATCCTTCCTTTTAGCGGCCAATTGGGTTCCGGCCTGGACTTTTCAATTATCAGTGGGGCTTCACTAGGAACATTGCTAAACTGAAGTATTCTCTCCACTGAGATCATTTTGTTCTCAACATTGCAAAGGTTCCATATAACCCAAGCTTGGAGAACATTAAGATTTAAGCCATAGGTAGCTGCTAGTCCTGCTAAACCTGCAAAATAGATGAAACATGTGAAAGAAAGAAAAAATTGTTTTCATAGATTTTCAGGTGTATAACTTTGACTTCCTTGCTTCTCATAAGTTCCTATATCTAAGAGTAGTTTTTTTATGTTTATTCATGCATCACCAGAGAATCTGACATTTTTGGCCTAGTGGAAGCAGAATGTATTAAGTTGGATTCATGATACAGAAATGGAGAAGAAGAAAAAAAGCTTACTGGGGTCGATAGCCTTCCGTGGAAGGTTTGCCAGGATGACAAGAAGAAAGAAGAATATCAGATTGAAGAGAAAGTTGATTCGAACACAGAGCCATTCCATTGTAGCAGAGTTGTGAAAGGCAACATGAGAATAATTATCAATGAGCTTCAAGTTCTTATTCAAGAATCGGTCCTCCTGATTAAAACAACGAATGGTTGCTACACCGGTGAGAGATTCAGAGAAATGATGCAGGATTGGAGCTTTCTGAATGCCAATCATCCTTGCCAGTTCTCTAGCAGTGGTAATGTAATATGCCTGTAATAAGAATGTATCATTAAATACACGTTGTTTGCATTGTAATGTAGCAGTGATACAAAACATTTATTTAAAAGAAATATGCTTCATTCTCTTTCAGTCTGCACTCAGTAAAAAAGTAAACTTCTTGCAGTTAAAAGTGAATGGGGACAAAAGTAACTTCAGGTTGAGCTTCTGATTACCTGATACCACATGGAGATGGCAAGTACCAGAAGGAAGAGAAAAAAGATCTGCCAAGCAACATGGGACATAAGGACAACAATGCTCAATAATTGAATAAGTGCAAATGCTAGTCCAGCCAATCTATACGGAATATCTGTGTCCACAATGCTTTGGTCTGTAGAAGACTGACAAACAAGAAAGTGATGAAGTTAAGTACGGATGCATCCAGAAACTCATGTTTTTAAAACTGAATATAGATGTATTTTAAGCCATATAGATCATTTCAGCTGCTACACTCACCCTATTCAGAATTCTGCTGGAAGGAGTGGAGTCGAAGAATGACAAGGGCGCTCGGAAGATTGATGTGATCATCCCAACGTAGAGCTTCTGAGCAGTCTCAATTGCAATAGTTGACAGCATAACTGCTCTTCCTAAGATGAAAAAAGAGCTTCCCCCTGACATCAGCACAAATATTCCAATCAATCGCTCTCTAGTAACCCTGCCTTCTTCTTCAGTTCCCCATGCAATCCAGTAGTTGCTTGCCATCTGCAATCCCTGGAAGAGAACTTGACATAGAAGGACCGGAAGTACAAGGGCCCCTTTGTATGCCGAAGTGACAAAAGTCGAGTAGACCTGCCATTTAACTCGACCAGATACTGCATCTTCCTGCTCAGTTCTTCCTAAGATCTTGTCGTCACAGGTAAGATCTTCAAAACTCTCTTCGACTTCAATTTGGTTATTCTGATGCTTACCCTTGGTCATGCAGCTGCATTTTTGGGAAGGGTTCACCTGATCTAATGATTTGCTGTGAGCCACCATATGTCTTAGGAGCTCACCGTCAGGGTCTGTAATCAACTCATTATACTTTCCTGACTGAACAATTCTACCATCTTTCATTACCTAAGCATATCACATAAGCAGCAAAACTAAGATATACTTGTCTAGTTTAAATCAAGCAACCGAAAACCAATAGCTGAAAACAGTTCAACTTACCAGGATGAGGTCAGAAGCATCTAAAAATTCCAACTGGTGAGTGGCATAAACAACAGTTTTATTATGTAGATGTTGGATTAGGCATTTCTGCAATATGATGAAGGGTTGTAGAAAATCAATAAGAGCAACTCGATTACTGAAAAAAAATCGATAAAAGTAGGATGTAGTACTTGCCTTGAACATATGAGCTCCAGTTTGTGCATCAACAGCACTGAAAGGGTCATCTAATATATAGATGTCTGAATCACTATAAATAGCTCTAGCCAACTGAATTCTCTGCTTTTGTCCACCACTTAGGTTCATTCCTCTTTCTCCTACCGAATTTAGATCTCCATCAGCCCACATCTCAATGTCACGTTTCAAAGCACATCGTTCCACGATATCATCATAACGAGCCTTATTCATTTCCTTGCCAAAAAGAACATTGTCTCTAACGGTGCCCGTCTGAATCCAGGCACTTTGTGGTACAAATGCCTTTGAACCATTAGTCTTAATACTAGATCCAGAAATCGTAGGAATCTCTCCCATAATACTACAGAGTAAGCTTGACTTTCCTGATCCCACTGAACCACAGATTGCCACTTTCCACCCTTTCATGATCCTGATTTTCTCGGTTATCTTAATCGTTGATTTCTTCAACTCATTTGTGCCCCAAGCATACTCTCCTGGCTCAAGTTCAATTGCCACTTCAGATGTATTATTATAAGGAGCAAGATAGCTTGTTAACTTCTTTTGATCTTCCTCTCTCATGAAGTCTTGAATCCTATCAACTGAAACCTTTGTCTGTGCAATCATGGAAATGAGTTCGGGCAAGTTGTAGATTGGTTCTTGTAGTATCCTGAAAGTTGCTAGTGCTGAGAGAACTGCTCCTGATGTTAATGGTGTTTTTAACATGATACAAACACCAAAGGTTGCAACTGAAACTAGTGTTGGTGACGCCCAAAAGAGAAAAGCCACAGCAGAACATGTATAAAGGTATCTCTTAAGCCATCCTCTCTCATTTTGTCTAAGTTGAAGCAGCTTCTTGAAGAAAGTGGACTCCCATGAGTGTAGTTTCAACACTCTCATGCTTTTCAAGGTCTCTGAAGTGGCTTTAATTCTCACGTCCTTCGCTTCCATTATCTTTGAGTGGAGCTGCTCTTGCATATTGGCAAGCGGTGTGTTGCTTACCATCACGAATATGGTTGAAAGAAAAGCAGCAGCAGAGGGAGCAGCACCTAAATTCTTGTACAAGATAACCAGGGCAAGTATAACCTGAACAGGAAGCAGCCAAACTCCATGAATATACCAGCAGAAATCCCCAATTCTCTCAACATCAACATTGATGAAGTTTATGATCTTTCCATCTTTTGTACCGCCATACTTGATCGACAAAGTTCTTTTATATATTAATGCCATCAGAGCTGCTCTCACTCGAACACCAATCCGGTGAGCTCCAAAATACCATTGCCTTTGTGACAGTGACTCAATTGTTTTGGCAAAGAAAAAGATGAAGGCTAAAATCATTCCTTCTTGCCAATTGGACTCATCTTTCTTTTCAGACAAAAATTTTACAAAACTTGTTATTAGCAAAGGACCAGTATAGGATGCAATTGTGTTGACTCCTGCAAAAACAGAAGCATGTTGTTACAAGGCATTTGGGCATAACTTCACACCAAGTATTATTTGCACATCAATGTTTGTTTTACTATTTTTGTTCATTATTTCAACTTCAAATTGAGATAGTGATTTAGAGTCAGAAATTCATGTCCAAATAATACATTTTTTTACCGGCTTCAACCAAATATTGTGTGCTTAATTGAGTCATGAATTACCTGCAAAGACAGCATTATAGGCAAGTGGTCTCCAAATCATGTGGAGTATGGCATCAGGGAGGGAGAAACTAGTAGTTTTCTTTGTCCGAAACGCGTCTTCCAATAAAGCAGAAGCTTCACTGGAACTCTCAGAATTAGGAATTGAAGGTATGTGTTCTACTCTCAGCTTTTCCTCATGACCTTTGTTGAATAGTGGATTAAGCCACAAGAATGTGAGTTGGCTCCAAATGCCAGCATTAGAAAATGCATCAGCATCATGTCTATTTACTTCTTTCTGAAGAAATGGCTGCTCAATTTCATTGTATTTCTTGGCAGAACAATCAGGCAGGGCATTGAAACATAGGAGAATTGACAGTGGTAGGGAAGCAAAATCAATTATATTTGTCTTAGGCAGAAAATGTGGGGGTTTTGTATAATAAATATTATAATGGTTGAGAAGATGAAGTGAGACTAAAAATATATCAAAAATACTTGAAAAGACCCACCATATAATGAGTAATAATGGCCACCTTTTCTCTTTGTTTAATGCATAGATTGAAACTGCACTTGACAAACTCCATGTCATGGCTGAAAAAACAGACTCTTCAAACACAAAAGTTTTCAACTTCCACAATTCATGGAAACAAAATCCCAAGTAAGCAATGGCTATTAACACATTCAATAAAATTGTAATCTTGCTGAAAAATGTAGGCTGTATTTTTTCTGCAAAATCTTCTTCTCCTCTGTTTTTCTTGAAAAGATGTATCAAAAACCATATGAGTAACAGCAAGAAAAAAGCCATATTGATTAGCCTCAGAGTGATGTCCATCTTGGTTGAAAGTTGAAACCACAACTCAAAACTTAGCCCTCAAAACCTATTAATAAATAAGACAAAAAGACCAAAGCATTAAAACTCAAATTACAAATATCCATAGAGAATTGAATTGGTACTTATATAAAAATAATAATAATACAAATGCAAGTAGAGAAAAGCAGACCTATCAAAAGTACTATGAAGAGAAAGCACGTGCCCCTTTGAAAAGTTGGTGGAATGATGATGAATAGGGAATCAAACAGAATGGTGAATGAAATTAATGATACATAGAGTTGTGTTTTATTTTATTTATTTATTTATTAGTATTGCTTATATGTATGTAATATAATTAAAGATTACAGTAACCAGAGCAATCACATCAGTAGATTCCTTATAGAATCTATCCAATAGAAAAATTCCGTATTGAGGATTTGTCTATGAAATCTCTTCTTGGAGTCTGCCAAATTTTCCGCTGACTAAAAATGTCTTCATTTTTTAGTATATATGTCTTCTTGCAAATTATAGCATTTTGTCCTTTTAAAACAAAAAATTCTATCTCGTTAGTATATCGGCCTAGTTTTTTGGAGAATACTTAAAATCATGTCATTAGTATTTGTAACACCCCGTAAATTCGGCTTAGGTGTGAATGTGTTAAATGAGTGGTAAGGTTATATCTTGAACATGTGAAGTCACATCGGGATGATTATGGGTGAAATAGTTACTTCAAAATCAAGATGGAAAGTGAGGTGCATAAGATTTGACAAAATCGACTAACTTTGCAGAAAGTTCATATTCCATCAGGTTTTAGTGAAAATGTGAGGAATTTGGGAAAACTCAAATCATAAAAGTTGTAGGCCTTTGAAATAGCTTTCCAACGATATATTATGAGCCCGAACGGACCTCTGTGCAAAACGTTATGCGCATTTTATATAACAGTATACGATATGCGCGCCCGGTAGCGCGCCCATAAGCGCGACCGCGCTAATTTTGAGGCAGTGTTACTGCCGTTTAGCGCGGGCAGGCCTCCAGGTGCGCGAGCGTGCTAGTGGGGGTCGTTTTAAAGCTATATTCCATCCCCCATAGCCCCAAAACATAAAAACTTGCTCTAGAAAGAGAAACTCTCAAAAACCTAACTCCTTAAGGGTCCTTCCACCACCAAAGGTAAGTTCTAATGGTGATTCTAAGTTAATTTCAATTTTCCAACATCTTATTAACATGGGTAAACCCTCCATATCATTAGATATTCGATTGGGACATCATTGTTGAGAGAAGGAAGCCTAGAACTCAAATTCAAAGGGTTTGAACTTCAAAAAGGTAATGTCTTCGCCCTCTAATTGATTCTAGCATTGGTTTAATGATTATGAACCCTAGTTCATGAGATATGAGTTGATGGGTTTGATAGAAAAGTATGAACGATTATAGGGTTGGGGTGTTGAGTGTTGATTATTGGTTAAGGGTATTGTTTACATTATGGGTGATGAAGAATAATGTTGATATAATCATTTGAGACTTTAAAATTTATCTGGGAACAAGAGAATGGGTTGTTGGGTGTAGAGACACCATTAATAAGGACTATGAAGCTTTATTTTCACCAAGTGTTTGATAAAATGCTTAAGTGACCAAAACATGAGCATTATTTGCTAATATGGAATCCCTTTGACTTGTATTGCTATAGATTAAAGTTGAAAGGGTTGACAACCATTGTATTGCGCTCAAAGGTAGGAAGATAAGGTATGTAAGGCTAACTCTTTACGTTTGGGGATGTCTACGATTCTCCCTACGTCCCATTCATTATGACCATTATCAGTTTCCTCAGAAAGTAATTGTGCCTTAGTTCCCTGAATAGCGGTGGAACTTCTATTCTCTAGATGGCATAGTTTCATAATCATTCGATATTCTATGAGTTTCAGTTATGNTCTAGCAGTTCAGTTTTAGTTTCAGTATTTACAGTTCTTTTGTTCAACTATTTTACATACCAGTACAATTCAAATGTACTGACGTCCCTTCTGCCCGGGACCTACATCTCGCGATGCAAGTAACGATTTTCAGGTTGACGATTCTGCTTGCTAGGATATCTCGTATCAGCTATTGGTGAGCCCCAGTCTTTCGGGGCCTTATCTCTATTTTGTTTTAGTCATTATAGTATTTCAGTTAATAAGGTATACCGGGGACCTTGTACCGGTAAACAGTTAGCATTTTCAGTATTCTTTAGAGGCTTCGTAGACTATAACCCAGTCAGTCAGATATTAGCAGGCCGTCATGTGTTAGCCTTGTCGGCTACTTGTTTATACTTGCAAAACTTTCAGTATTTTCCGCATCTATGACATTTCAGCCAGACTATTTAGTAGATTATCATGTTTTACATTTACCTCTAGCTCATAGTTATACCACATGTTGATCCAGCCATGCAGTTGGTTCGCTCGGTTACATGCAGTCAGGCACCGAGTGTCGTGTTACGCCCAGACCATGGTTCGGGGCGTGACAGTATCTTGACATCAGTTTCAAAGTAGGAATATAACGGACTCATTTGTTTCGATATTTTTTCCGCTTTTATAATGAATGGTTATTATACACATATAATAGCATTTGACATTTAAATACACCTATAAAATCATGTCATTAGTATCTTGACATCAGTTTCAAAGTTGGAATATACAGGTAACCCTTTCTATAACAGCCTCATTTGTTCCGATATCTTTTTCGCTTTTATAGTGAATGGTTATTGTACACCTATAATAACATTTGACATTTAAATATTTTTTGGCCATTATAGATAAAAATTGTCCAAATATCAATTAGTTTTCCTTTTCTAATGTTATATATAAAAAATAAGAAAATTATTCAAATTTAAAATCTCAAAAGATATGTGTTAGCTTCAAGGTTTCACGTATTAATTTTGATGATAACAAACCAATACAATTATTAATATAAGAACATTTACTTGTGGTAATCTTATTTTTTGTATAGGTTTATTCAAGAAAGAAGATGCTGGTAAAGATCCAAACAAATATGGGAAAAGAGATATCGTACGAAGAATTTATCAAGGAAGATTATTTTCAAAGATTTGATCTCCTAGCGCCATAGAAGGAATAATATTTAAAAGTGAAATTTCAAATATTGAATGTCTTACTACAATATCAGAAAAAGAATCTACGGAATTATGGATGGGAGGTTTTTCAACATCTTGAAAGGAAAGTTGCTAAATCATGGAGAAGATCTATTATTTTGTGGAAGGAAGATACTATATGGAAAAGATATTACAAGGACAAGGAAGAATATATTTTCTATGGAAAGAAAATATATTATGGATATAGTACAATCTATATTATGGAAAGATATTATTTTCCAAGATTAAGAAAGAAATATTTTCAATATAATGGGAGAAGAATATATTTTCTATGGAAAGAAAATATATTATGGGTGTAGTATATTCTATATTATGGAAAGAGATTATTTTTCAAGATCAAAAAAGGAGTCAAAGATTTATTGATATCTATCAGAAAGGAAATATTTTAAGAAAGATATTTTTACCAGGACAAGTACTACAAGGAATTGGCCAAGTCTTGCATTTAAGGAATGTTGCACAAAGAAGCTTATTATTCAAAATATATACTACGGAATGAGATGGAAAGTATTATTCTTATGGAAAGAAGCATGAGTTACTAGAATCAATCAATAAATTGCTACAATAATGGAAAAGTAAATCATGGGGATTTTGATTGAATCATTATGACTATTCTCAAGTAGATATTCATAAAGATTATATATTGCAGAGAATTATTAATCATGGATCTATTCAAGGAAGGAATTGATATTGGCATCATGATTGGAAATTCATATTGTCCAATTCAAAAGGAAAGTTTGCATTAACAGAAGATATCCAAATCTGCCTTGTAGATTGTGATCATGTTCAAAAGGGCAAGCAGCAGTAAAGGAAAGTTGGAGCAGCAGCAAAGGAAATCCTTTTCCAAAATTAGAAGACCGCTGCAACGGCTAGAATATTCAATGACCAAGTATAAAAGAGAAGATACTTGCAACATCAAACTTACGCAACCTTCTATACAATTGTCTATCCAACTACAAGTTCTTTATTCTACTCTTAACAAGCATTGTAATTCACTTTAGTAGATTTACTGTGTACCCAAAAGAGAGAAGAGAGACAGAAAATATTGGAGAGGCAGTGTGTCCTAGAGGTTGTGTCATTGTTCGTTTCTTTGGTGAGCGAGTGAAAACCAAAGGGTCGTTGTTGGTGAGCGAGTGAAAACCAACCCTGTCAGCGTTGGTGGTGATCGCCGAAAATCACAAAGGTTGTACTCAATTCAATTTACAAAGAGCTCTAAAAGACAACACTCTTGCAACCCAAGAGGATTGGATTAGGATACCACATTGGTTCTGAACCAGTATAAAATTCCTGGTGTCATTTACTTTATCGCTCTTATACTACATTCTATTCTTTTACTGTTTATTGCGATTAACACTTGTTTAAATCGAAAAGACTAACAGTTCTGTGCAGGCTGTCTCTGCATAAGTCGACTAAGTCTGAAGAGTAGTCGACTAGAAATTTAAAAAGGCTATAATTCACCCCCTCTTGTACTTTCAATTGGTATCAGAGCATGTCTCACATCTTTATTTTTTTTTTCTTAACAGCAAGTGAGAAAAGATCCATTGCAGGTCATCAAATTGTTGAGACCATACTTCAAGAAGGATACTCAACAAGAAGTTTATCGTACTTAAATAGTCAACAATATAGCCATTGGAAGGAAAGAATGAAAGTTTATATTCAATCAATAGATTATTGAGCATGACTAGTTATTCAGAATGGACCCAGACGTATTCCGAACAACAGTGATGGAAAGAAGCTTGTAAAAAGGTCATCCATATTTGACTACACAAAAGAACAGTTGGATATTATGCAAACAAATGCTAGAGAAATCAACATGCTCTATTGTGTGATTAGTGAAGAAGAATATAAGAGAATATCCACTTGTGAGACTGCTAAAGATATATGGGACAAATTGAAAAATATCCATGGGGACGCCAACAAGGTTAAGGAAATTGAATCCACGTCAACTCTTGAAGAATCTGAAAATAGTGAAGATCGAGAAGACTCGGGCGTGATACCCAGGACGAGAAAAAGGATGAGTAGAAAGAAACAGAATAAAAAATCTCAATCCATCCAGAATCATCAAACAAATCAGAAGAAGGAGGTTCAACAACAATGGAACATATGCTGCTACAAATGTGGTAAGCCTGGACATATGAAATTAAAATTTCC